TGTATATTAGGGATCCTAAAAGGTAACCCCAAAAAGGAGCTACAATGGAGACTATAGGTAGGGTTCTTTTCCGCTTCGGGGTGTTAAGAGGATTTAGGGCTGAGGGCCCAAGATTAAGATCTGTCGAGCTGCTTCGGCAGGTGTGGCGGGGCTCGTGGCCGGCGTGTTGCAGGCATCCGAGTTTAACCTGTCGGGGTCGACAGACATTTTCGATTGGGTTTATCTTTTGCAGCTGAACCGATGCCACCCGCTTATCGCTAGTAATTCAACAGCACGTTGTCGATTTGTATGCGCAGTCTATGTTATTGTGCTTTAGGTCCATGGAAGTCTTCGGCTTCATCCCCTGAAATTGTCCAATTCCTGGTGGGGTTGGAACGTAAACGCAGATTCGTCACCCGGCAAAACACCCTATCTCCTAAAACCCTTCTTAAGCCCTGAATTCTAAGCCTTTCCCGATGCTCGCGTGCAGAGTCTGCGGCTTAATCCACAAGTAGCAAGTTCCTCTTGATATTTCGTTGTCCTGATCCCTATACGCAGAACCTTCTACACTCTCAGATGGATTCAGGGTTTTGAGGGGGTTTAGGGTATAGGGTTTGGGTGGACTGAGGCTTAGGGCAGGTTCCTGGAGTTTGAGAGGACCTAGTAGTAGAGTAGGTGACCTTTAACCTTTTTTGGGGTAGTATAGTCTCTATATAGTCCCTATATAACCGAAAAGGTTAACCTTTAGTTCCCCATGATACCCGACAAGTAGAAATAAACACCCTAAATCCCTAAACCCTAAAACCCTAAAACCCTAAGCCGTAATCCCAAAACCCCTAAACTCACTATAGGAGAGTCACCAGCCAGGTTCTCAGCTTCATGTGGCTCCGAACGGCGTGGATCTTGGAGTGTGTGGCGTTTGCAGGGTTTGCGGATTTTGGGGTTTAGGATCTGTAGGGTTTTTGGGGCGTTTGGCGTGGTGTAGGGTTTGATTTGTATAGAGGCTCTTTGAGTATAGTAAATTATTGAGGAACTTCAAGACTAGAATGATCTGTGCCGTCCTGCTTGGTAGACGATCGCAGTGATAAGTCGGATTCAGAAGCAAGGCAACTGTCATTAGAAAACATATTAGGAACCCTTTATAATTAGCCGAATTAGCCCTTCTTAAAACCGAGTTCTTTTGGACTCAACCTTTGAGGCTCAAGGTTATTATTCCAGGAGTTTACGGGTTTGGGAGCAGGGGTTTCAGGGCTCAGGGTTAGGTTGAGGATTTGCAGTTTAGGCTGAAGGAGAGACGTGCAGATTTCGGGTGTGTCTTTTTGGTGGTTAGGGTGTAGCGTGAAGAGGCCATGTTTCAGGGTTTCAGCGTTCAGAATGGTACAGAGCTTAGATTTGGAAATAGGGCCTCGGCTCAGGGTAGCTTCCGCGTTGCCTTTGCCGACTTCAAAAACGATTCAAGGGTTTAGGCGTTTAGGCTTTGTAAGTACATCCGTATTATGGTACGTTTGGTGCCTTAAACCTGAAAGCCTAAGCCCTTCAAGGAGCCCTTGTGGATCCTTGTTATGGTAACTTAGCGTAAACCCCTCAGCAATAAGCCAGAGCTAGAGACATCATCTGATGAGCTCGAAACTGGTTGAGAAAGCCACGGGTAGTTCCGGAGCTGTACCGGCGATAGGATGTGCTTTGGGCAGGGATGTGGGAGTGAGACCGTAGAGCCTATGCAGAAGCCTAAACCCACGGGCCAAGGCTATGAATTATCAATATGTCACCGGCGGCAGTTTGGCACCCAGTACCAGAGCTTCCTGGAGTTCTTGGATAGTGCCTTCGTCAGATATCGCTTGTGCCGGATCTAGAGGCGATAGGTTAACATGAATGAGGGCTTGCCCTGCTCGATTTGGGGGGGAACTATCAGAAAGTGTCATGGGTTTAGGGTTGCGGATTCAGGACCCTTAAACCCTAACCCCGCTCAGGGTATCAGAAGCTATCATGATGAGGTTCAAGAAGGTGAACTAACACGCACGTCTTTCCTTGGGTCAAGGCTGGGACGATGCCGGCTCTCCAGTTTCCTCCCTTCCAAGCCCGAGTTCCTGTCTCCCTGGCCCCCAAAAGAGTCGCAAAGTTTAGGGTTTAGGGTTTAGGGAAAGCCTACTGGGAGGATCATGGGACTTAGTAAGTAGGGTTATAAGTAGGTTATAATTAGGATAACCCCACTTAGGGGACTTATAACCCCAGTTATAACCTACTTACTAAGTCCCATGATCCTCTAAGTAACCTCCAAGCCCTGAGCCCAAAACATGCCAAAACCCGAGCCTCAAAACCAAAGCATCAACTTCAAATTGTTTTTCAGGAACAAAGGCAGGCGGGATCCGTATAGCAGAGGAGCCTAAAAGGGGCCTTAATGAACCACACACATGCTAGTCTTATGACCATTCCCGAAGATTGTGGCAGGGCTGCGCCTTTGCACCCATATAGACTGTCAGTCAAACCTACTGAAGCTGCACGGACTGCATGTTGCTGGCTTGACGCAGCTCTTGGAGCAAAAGCTTGACAAATGCAGTCGAAGGTTCAATCAGACTAAAGCTTCGTATATCGGAAAGCAAACTGTTCACGCTCTCGCCTCTTCGCGCCTCGTCCCCATCAAGCGTTCTGCCCACTATGTGGCCTCGCACAGCGCAGCAGCCGGAACTGGGTTCTGATCCTTGGTATCTGAGTAGGTAACCGTTAACCTATTTTGGGGGTTTTATATAACCCCACCATAGTTGAACAGGTTGTTATAGGAGCCTTATAATTACTAAATACCTATACCATTGTGGGGGTTCCTCATTACAGTATAATGGGCCCAAAAACCCCTATTCTAATTATTGAGGCCCCTATATTAATATTATAGTACCCTTATACATCCCTTATACCTACCCTTTAATTCTTAATGGAACCCTAAAAGGAATCCTATTCTAATTATTAAGGCCTATATTAACCTCGTCTGGGCTGGGAAACTCAGCCTCTTAGGATCCGGGCCATCTGGGGTTCGGCCTCGTGGCGTTGGACCTGGAATGTATCCATGACCATGTTCATGGGAGCTACGAGGTTCTTCATTGGTGTACCTTTTGAACTGGAGTTGTTGGGCTCTTTTTTGAGTTTCTGGGTTCCTGTCGGTTCCCCTGAAATACTCTTGCAGACAGGCTAATATTGAGATGTGCAGCCGCTTTCCCCGCAACAGCCTAGGCTGTGCTGCCATGAATCGGCACCCCTAAGCCCAAATCCTATAAACACTAAACCCTGAACGCGAAACCGATTAACCCTAAACCTCTAACCCGTAAACCCTAAGCCCTGAAACCCTAAACCCCATAAGCCGTAAACCTAGGCCCTATTAGCCCTATAAACCTTAAACCCTATAGACAAAAAACCGAGGCTATGCTGCGATGAACTGGCACGAGACGGCGGACCAGTGGGCTTGGAAGGCCCGGTGTCAGATCATCGCGCCTTTGTCATAGCTGTTGGTGACCTTTTACATAGGCAGTTGTCAAAATTAGGTCCCATTTAGGGTACCCAGAAAGGGACCATAATTTTGACAATTACTCACATGTGTTGCATGTTTATGGGCTCGTCGAACCCAAGAAGGAATTCAAGTAAACCCCAAATCCCTAAGCCCTAAAGCCTAAACCCCTAAAGTCTGTTTCAACCATAGAACGAGGAGCTGGCGGCTGTGAATCTGGTGACTGGTGAGTCGCTAAACCTGCGCAGCCGACCCGACTTCCACTGGGAGGACGTGAAGTCCCCGGCCACAAGGATGCTAGGTGGAGCTTTTGCCCTAAGGACCCAAAGTAGTCCCCTTTTTGGGGTTCGTATATAGAATCCTATAAGGGTATTCCCAAGAAGGAGCTACTATGGGGCCTCTGGGTGGACACGTTTTTAAATTCCCTTTCTTTCCTGGTTCTGTAGAGGTACCTTTTCATCAATACTCTTGGGAGCCGTGAAAGTACAACCGAGGATGTTTGCCGAAGATAGCGGCCACAAGGCATTGGTGTGTGATGCACGGCTTCCTCTCTTTGCGCAGCTCTGGCCAACGGATGTGCTGCCCTTTCTCCAAAGGGCTGCTGGCTTAACAGGCAAAGTAGTATTTTGGTGGCACTTTGGGAAACATTTTGAAGTTTCCCGTATGGTTGCGACAGAGGTACCTGTTCAGAAAAACATGTATATACAGGCCCCTGAACCTACAACCCAGGTATTGATAGCCCACAATGGGGACAGGTTCGATCATTACGTGCTGAGCCTGGGCTTTGGAGTACCATACTTTAACACTTTTTTTCTTCATGGAACCATTATGAAATAACAGTTCACACGTTTTTCTCCCTGTTTACTTAAAAGCCCAGGAGCAAAGAGATCGCACGGCTCGGCCTGGACATGCGCTGCTGCCCACGCCTGGTCTCTGCTGACACGGTGGCCACACTGAAGCCGGGCTTCGATTTCCAAGGGTTTAGGGGTTTAGGGTTTAGGGGCTTCGATTTCCAAAGTAGGAGCTGTTGTGTTTCCCAAGGCTATGTCTCGATTACCCATTGCTGTTGAGACGCGACATGTTTGTGCTCATGAGTGATGACGAACAAAGCACGGTGGTGGACATTTCTCAACACGCACATGCGACGTACTGTTGAAGGCAACTCATGTGGATGGACGGATGGATGGACGGATGGATGGATGGATGGATGGATGGTTGTTTACATGTATGCCTCCTTGAGTCCGATAAGTATGCATATCCAAGGCATACGCCTTTGACCTCCAAAGTTGCTCAAGCATGTAGATGACAAGGTGTGCTGAAGATCCTTGGCCCCGCCAAGAACTTCATCCACAACCTGTAGTCCGACACAGATCTGTCGTAAGTGTCTTAATGTCACACGGATCTTGAAAGCCTGGGTTGGCTTTCACGGGAAGTCTCGCAAGGTGTTGAACGTTGTGTGCCTTGCATAGCCTTCTGTTTTTTTTCCAAAAAGCGCTCAGTGTTGAGTTTTTCGCGATCCGAGACTCAGGAAGAAGAGGTTCAATTACAGCGATGTGCATCAGGTCTATGGCCGGCCTGGCAATTTGACCCTGAAGCAAATGTATGCAAACTGGGTGCCAGAGCAGCACAAAGCACGCGACCTCCAAGCACATCGCGCTTTAGACGACGTCTACATGATGCAAGATGTTATGAAGTTTGCGCCGTACTTGGCGCCTCTCCTTGCGCAGGACATCTCAATGGCAGCGCATGGCACAGACATTCCTGCCGTGTCCAATGCAGTGTGCCAGCGATTGCTTCACCCAGCCAAGCCTTCCCAGCCTTCCCAGCCTCCTCACACCTCAAAATGCCAAGCCCTCCCCATGCAACACGGGCTCCCCGTCATGCAGAGCGTTCTGCTCAAAGCAAGCCCCGTGATCAACACCTTGCACGCTGCACCCGTCAGCACAGCAACACCGCCACCCCCACAGTTTGCAGCTCCGGCCGTTCAACCGCTACAGCTCCAGCAGTTGCAGCCGACACCTCAACAACTTTCTCATCCGCAAGAGCTCCAGGCCCAAGCCTCCTCGACAGTATCGCTCCCAAGCGACCCGATTCCGCCTCCAGAAAAGCCATCCCCAGCCAGCCCTGCCCAGCCGAGCGAACATGTTCTGGACACAGAGGCCGAGCTGCAGAGCTCCGGATGCCAAAGCCGTCGAACAAGCGCTAGCAGCATCGAGACCCGAGGCAAGGGCACAGGCAAGGTCGAGAGCAAAGGAAAAGGCAAAAAGAAGAAGGAGCAACACCAGCAGAACCATCAGCGGCATGGCCGTTACGAAGCAGGATGGTGTCTTGGCGAAAATCAACGAAGCATGCGCCTGCAATTGTGCATGTCCACACTTCGCTCTGCATGATGTCAGTATTCGTGTTGATGAGTGTTACTGCACATGTCTGTCGCTTGCTTCATGGTTGTGTCTGTTTGACTTGATCTGACATGATCTGACAGTGTACTGTGTTCTACTAAACTACGCTATCTTTCCGGACCATGAGTCACTGCACTCTGCCACACTCCCCTATGTTATGTTGTAGTGTAGTCTATTCTACCCTAGTAAGCCTCACTATCGTTTCGTATACCCTATTATACTTTGTTTACATGGATTGAAAACCAGAAAGCTTCATACCGTCGTGAAATGTTTCCTTCGCATGATACATCAGGCTGCATTATGGCCTGTTGCAATTTGACCGTTGTTATTATAATGCCGTGGTATACTGTTACATTATGCTATATGGCGTTGTTCACATCTTGTCTTCCTTTGATATGGTCTATACAATAGTGCAGCTAGTGAAGATATGTACATCTATCATATCGATGTGTGTGTGTAGAGTCCATGCTTTCATTGATGTTATGTACTACGCTTATTCATGTATGTTCTGTAGTTCTCACATCTCACATATTGTTTATTGTTTGTCATGTAGCAGATAAACATATATGAGCACAAAGTTATATATGCATATATATATATATATAATTATATTATATTATATTATATTATATTATATTATATTATATTATATTATATTATATTATATTATATGCATACATATATGTATATGCATGCATATATATATATATAGTATTAGATGCATACTTCATGCGGAAAGCGGTTAGGTAGTTATTACATGCAACACATCCTTACATATATAGTGTTTTAATTATGATGTATAAACGTTGGGGTACTTGTGCCATATATCAAACGGTTCAAGTTTCACAGTGCCACGTCAGTATGAAATGCCATACCGGTTCTAGTATGCACTCTGTATTATGTGTCATGCTCAGCTGTTATGTATTCTGTACTCAATGTACTTAACACCGTGAACTTTTTTGTTCGACTTAAACTTTAATATCTCTGTATACATATACGTATGTATGCATGTATGCAAGTTTACATTCGTGTATATTATACATATGCATATACATATACATATACATTTACATACATACATACATACATATATATATATAGAGTGAACTACAAAAAGGTTGGACACACAGTATATGATGCACATATGCACATATCCAGGCTTCTTCAGATCTGTATCGCATGCTGTATGCCTGACATTGCTTTGTCATGATCATGCTTTCACACTACATGTTGAATATTAGCCAGCTGTTCTCTTTACAGCATGCTACGTATTCTGTGTTTCGCGCTGTATGTTCTATATATCATATAATTGGTGCATGCAATGCAGAATTCCATGCTTCACATACTTGTCGAAAAAGCCAGTTCTTTGCCCTTTCTACTTGCATGTATGCACGTCATATCAGATCATGTCATATCATACAAGATCGCATCATACCATGTCATATCTTATCGTATCTAGTATTTCCGATAGCACACAGCACATTTTGAATGCTACATATATGTATATTACGTGTAATATATATATATACGGAGATATATGTATATATATATATATATATGTATGTATGTATGTATGTATGTATGTATGTATGTATGTATGTATGTTCGTGTGCTGGCTTTGTGTTAGGTAGCTGGTATTACAAGGCAGTATGCTCACATGTAACTGTCATATACACATATGTATATGGCAGCTACGAAACATGTTCAGCAAGGTTAATACACTACGTATGTATTCTATGTCTTCTGCTATACACTATGTGATTTTCGATTAACGTTATTCTATTCTCTTCCATTGTACTGCCCTGTTTTCTATCATATTACATTATGTAATGTGACATATGTAGTAAAACTTAATTATAGTTCTCACTTGAACATCTCTTATTGAAATCCTGTGATGTTTTTGGGGATAATGTATCGTTGTACGAATTTTACCACCTTATCTCATATGATCTTATCATTTATGGTTCTAAATTGTATGATGCAGTCACAATGAAGCCTGTCTTTGCAAATGCATTACGTATTCATAAAGTGTACACGGGTTATTGCATACGATATACTACATACCGTCATAGGTAGATAGACAGATAGATGGGTGGATCGAGAGCTGAATAGATAGTTAGCTGGCGAGGCAGGTAGGGCGGTGGGCTTGAGTTTCCGAAAGCCGAGGTGGGGAGCATATTGGTATTATGTTATACTATACGATACTATGTTATACCACGCAACACGATAGTGTCCCGTGCTATCATGGTATACTGTAATATACGTCGTATGTTATACTACTCTACACTACACTATCCCTAAATCGTAAACCCTACACCGAATGCCGAGGTGGGGACCTGATCCTTGGAACTGGGAGCATGCCTGGGCCGGCGGCTGGTGGGGCCAGTCCTGGGGCGAGTGGGGAGACTTTGACGAAAGGCATTCGATTTAGGGTTTAGGGATAGTATAGGACAACAACAGTAGCTGAGTTTCTGTTCTTTAAACCTTGTGGGTTTGGGGCTTAGGGTTTCAACTTCGGGGACAGTCTAGCCCTCTTCAAAACTGAAACTTCGCGGGCTTGAGCTGGGCAGCTAAGATGAACATGCCAATTCCGCCTATGTCCAGCGTCGGGCAAGGGGCCGAGGAAACCGCAATCATCGCCGCTATCCACAGAGGCAGCCCATTCAGGAGGAACCGGCAAGCAACAGTGCCGCGCACGAGGCTGCCGCTGGGCCAATGCCAGCCTTGCGGAGTTTGGGTCTTGAACACGAGAGCTGGCTCCTAGGGAACCCCAAACGCCCCAAGCTCCAGACCACCCTAATATAGGGGCCTTAATAATTGCCTGTACTATATTGGGGGTTCCTTATGATAAATATAGAATCATGGGCCCCAAAGCCTTATGCTAATTATTGAGGCCCCTGTATTGAACCTCCCCGCCGAGGCCGCGGACGCTCCGGACCATCGTAAGGAGATGGGCACCGTGAACTGGCAATAGTGGCAAAAGGGCTACAATCAGTTTTCGAGCTTCCGCTTGCTGAGGCGCCGCTCTAGAGGATTCAGCATGGTTCCTTTTTGGGCCATTCGAGCCCCTTGAACCCTAAACCCTGAAACCCCCAACCTTTAAAGTTGCGACCCCGAAACGGTTAAACCCTAAACCCTAAGCCCTTAAACCAACGCTTCCTTCAAAAAAAGAACCTTAGACCCCAACCTTTAAAGTTGCGACCTCCGAACGGTTAATTGTTAAACCCTTTAACCCCCAACCTTTAAAGCTGCGACCCCGAAACGGTTAAACCCTAAACCAGGTCGGTGACATCGGCTCACCGAGCCTCGCGTTCTGTTCCAACCTGTAGTTTCCTGGCCTGTGCGAAGCTTTCATGCTCAAACATATTGTATACGATAGTGTTTTATGGTTTATAATAGTCTGTTATGCTATGGTATAGGATAGTATAGTATGATAAGTATATTAATTATACTACATTCTAGTATGTTTTATGCCATAAGATCGACAAACAAACGGCGGCTCGGAGACAAGACTCGAGCTATCGCCGGGGAGTTTGCACGTGCTGCGAATTTGGCCGGTGGATGCGAACGCACCACTGCCGATGACTTTGTCTAGAGTCGTGAACTGTTAGTCTGTTAGTGTTTGCGTGGCCCTTTGTGGCCTTTCGACAGCTCCCTCCTGATCGCCCACCGCACTGATACAGGTTCGAGTTGCCGTGCTTGTTGTGGTGGTGTGCTCGCTGTGTCCAGGTGTCTTTAATTGGCTAGCATCCAGCTACATGGATCTTCAACATGGCAGGGAGGGGCGTTGGTAGTTACAACACAGTTTTGGGGCATGTGTTGTAATTGTTACTTACTTCGTATATAGGTTTAGTCAATAGAGAAGTCGGAATACTTGGTGAAAGTATCCGTTTCTAGTCCCCATATCATTATAGCAGAATTTACCTCAAATCCTGAGTGCGCTCGTTGGGTTCATAATGAATCATATGTTGAGCCACCGTATTGATAAGCTTGACTGAGTCCCATGAGCCCTAAAGCACAACCGAAACTTTGAAACCTCAATTCCTAAACCCTCATCGAGCTGTTATTAACCCTATAGTTCCTAAGTCTCACGATATGATTCTCTAAGCCCCCCACACCCTAACCCCTATATGTAAGCCCCAAAACTCTCCTTCGCCCGAGAACCTATTGGCTTCTGATATTTGGAGTGTCTGTTATGGTCTGAACAGTAGGTATGGCCCGATACAGTCGCTAGGTAAATATTCTGACCCTACATTGAGGTTCATGGGTAGTTAGACGTAGAGCGATAAATTATCCTTAAATGGTTTTTGAGTATAGTTACCTTACTTACTTGAAGATTCATGGGTGGCCATAAGTAATTAGTGATATGCGTCCCCTCATATGGTTATTTCATTTCACCTATGGCTACCCTACTTGAAACTACCCATGAGCTTCCAAGTATTATCAAACAAAGCACAAAAGCCCTCTTCTCATGGCTAGTTTAGGGCGTGTTAGGACTTTTCGGTGCCAGGCCTGAAGATGGTAGGGTTTAGCAAGTATTGAGGGTTTAGGATTGATTCAGGGTTTAGGATTTGGGGTTTCGGGCGTATAGGATGTCGAAACCTAAACCGTCAACCCAACAGTTCCCGCTGAAGGCTTGAAGACAGCTTTGAGCCGCCCTCTCAGTCAGGTCATGCTGGTCTTATTCAGTCGTCGGGGGGTTCCATGGTTCCATAAAGGGTTCTATACAAAGTTTCGATAGCGTTTCGATAAGGGTCCTAAAAGGGTTCTCCACGAGCTTCTGCGTCTACGGGAAGGGCACAAGTAAGCATCGGGCTTCGGGTGTAAGGTTTGGGTTTAGGACCTAGGGCTTTGGGTTTAAGGTCTCGGGTTTAGGGTTCAGGGCCTATGGGTTTGGGGTTTCGTGGATGGGCTTGTTTCTCTTCATGCACCAATGTCAATAGTGGGGCGAAGGGGCAGTACCCTTAGGCCCCAAGCCGGAGATTTCCAAACCCGAAACCTGAAACCCGAATCCGAAAACAGGACTTAGCTTCGCGCCTCAGGCTGAGAGATTTCAGACAGAAGCCCGGCGGGGGGACGACAAGCAGATTGGTTAGAACCCCTACTTAGAGGATCATGGGACTTAGTAAGTAGGTTAGAACTGGGGTTGTAAGTCCCCTAAGTGGGGTTATCCTAATTATAACCTACTTATAACCCTACTTACTAAGTCCCATGATCCTTTAAGTAAACAAAACGAGCAACCCTTGATCTGGCTTATAAGACCCTGAGAAATCCTTCGGAAATGTTCTTCTAAGAGGCCTTTACTTGGTGGCTGAGTCGTGGGTGGTGCCATTTCCCAGAACCTTCTTCTTGTTGTAGTGATCGTATCATTGAACAAGGTTCCGTTTTCGCGTTACGGGCATGCTTTTGAAGGGATTACCGCTTGGGGGTGGGAGTGGGAGGTTCAGGATGCAGGTGTAGGCCTCAGTTTCAAAAGCTATTCAGGGTCCATTTCGCGGCCTCGCGACAAGGGTCTGTATCTGAGGAGCCCGCAATCCCGAAACCTTACACCACTTAGGATCCTCATGGGTTTAGCATTTTACATAAGTCTCCGTTGCTGTTCCCCTGTTTGCTCACTGTATAGGGTCCTAACTATATAGCTGGTTTAACCAAAACAGGGAACAAAAAAACAAATTAAAGCCAAGAAGCACCGACACCTAAACCCAAAACCTTTACGCCTGGTTTCTTCCTTCTGAGGGTTGCCGTAAGTTAAACCCCTTCGGATCCCTTCCAATCCCCTCTGAAACCATGGAAAACCCTGCTATAAATCCTCAGCCTGAAACCCTAAGCCCTCATCCCCGCAAGAAGCCCGTTAATTGTCACACCCTAAACCCTAAACCCTAAATCCTTATTCAAACTGTCACGGCCCTGTTCAACTTGAAAGACTTCGAGATTTGCGGCTCTGGGGCTGCTTTTTAAAGGTCATGACTACTTGGAGCTTCATAGGTAGGAAGAGATGGGGCTCATAAGTAGGGTAATTGGGCAACTCTACTTATTATAGCCCACATTAGGGGACTGATAACCCTACAGCACCTACTTATAACTACCTCTGAACCACCAAGTAAGGCTTTCTTGTGTTGGGACCTTTCGGCTCTGACAAGCCATCGCTTAGACTTTCCTCTCCCGCCAAAGATGGCGTAGGGTTTGGGGTTTCTGAGCTCCAGGTCCTACTTGGATCGTAGAAAACCCTGCAGGTTTAAGGCTCCCTAAGCCTCTGAACGATGATGCCCTCGTACTATATCCCTAAACTTTAGGGATATGCCCTAAACCCAAAAACCTCAAAGCCCAAACCCTAAAGCCCTTTCAGGGTGCGGACTGCTGCCTCTGGAGAAAAGGAGTTCAAAAAAACTCGAAGAGCAAGGCAGGCCCTGGAGCCTTGAAGATCGAGCCCTGTCCGATCGGAGGTTCAGCTTTGAAAACCGACAAAACCCTAAACTTTTCAACCCCTACACCCTATATAAACCCCAAAAGGCCCTAAACCCCCTAAGCCCTAAACTTAAACCCTAAACCGTCCGGAAACTCGCACTCCCCGAAGCCCCTTCTCCGAAGAGCATCCGGCCTCATGCCGGCGGATGCAGCCGACCCTTCCTTGCAGCCAAGGCAGGGGTTCAGCAAGCTTTGGACACTGACTTATTATAATATACTGTATTATAACATCATGTATGACAGGTATATACTTTAATAGCCAGTAGTGTGATATATTCTAGTGTATTGCAACATAAGTTAGGGTTTAGGGTTTTGTCGCCGTATAAGCCCACGAGGTGATTACAAATTCGGTTAGCTTTGGGTTGGAAGCTCAGATTCTGAAGCAGCGCTTCGGATATACTGCAACAAGCTCAATTCTCAATCAATCTCGCTACATCCTCAGGTTGTAACCCTGAACCCTAAACCCTAAGCCCTAAACCCAAAACCCTAAGGCAGCAAGCCGCAGGTCCGAATCCAAGCCCTGATAGCTAAGCCCAAAACCTGCATCTCCGAACCCTGTACGTACTCTGAGAGACATCTGGGAGTTTCCGAAAATGGGGGCACCTTATTTTGGGGTCCTTATAATAAGGATCCTGCGATTTAGGGTATTATATTAGGGTCCCCTATTTTCGGAAACTCCCATCTGTTGGTGCTTAGAGGGTTTAGGAATGTATTTGCCAGGCTGCATGACCTTGCTGGTCGAAACCTTGGAGGCTTCAATGTCTCCACGGCCCAGAAACCCACCTCTAAGCTTTTTAGGGTTCCTTAATATGTGTTCCTTGTCTAAGTTCCTTATCTAAGTCCCTAGAACGGTAGGTTTCTTAGGCTGCTCGCTGGTTCTTAGTAAGCATGGGGAAATGGATCCCTGTGGTAGTTAGTCCCTTACCATGCAGTTATGTATAGCTATAGCTTTCTACACCGCAAAGCCTCATTCCAACCACTAAGGCTGCTGGTTTCGATTCTGGAGGGACTGTTTGCTAGTCCACGACATGGCACATCATGCAAAAATGCTATCCCCTGCATACCCCTCACTCGAGGCATTCAAAGATGATGGAGCTGTTATGAGGCTTGAGGAGGGTTTGTTTTGGGGTTCCGGTCATAGCTGAGTAACTACAAGTATATAAGTATTTTAGTTCTTCAATGATGGCCGAGCCAACTAGTTAGCTGCAGTCTTTCTAGGATGCCCGCCTTCACGTGAAGGAATTCCTGAGAAACGCCTCCATGATTCACGTTTTGTTCCGGGCGCTGATTTGCTCAGAAGTTGCGGGCCAACCTTCAAGCCGGATCCACTCAACCGACGCCTTCAGCCTTAATCCCCAAACCCTAAACTAAAAACCCTGAACCCCTAAGCCACTAAACCCTAAACCCCTAGGCCTGAACCCTACACCCCAAACCCCAACCCAAACCCTGAAGCCTGAACCCTGAGTGGTCTTGGGCTGAATTCAAAGCTCAAACTTCACCCTGAACCCTAAACGCTGAAGCAAACGTCTGAAAAACCCTGAGTCCCGAACCCTAAACCGAGACCCTAAACCCAAAGCCCCAAACAAACCGTAAACCCTACGCCGAAACCCTAAACCTTAAGCCCTAAGCCCCAAAACCTAAATCTCAAACCATCCTAAATCGCAAACCGGAAATCAGAAGCTCGACAGCTCTTGGCAGCCAAAGTTCTTGCAGCCATGGGCATCAGCCGCGAAGCAGCCAAAGAGCTGACTAGGCCCATCTCTCGCGGATTTGAGCTAGGCTTACTTCAGGGTTTTAGGGTTTTGGGTTTAGGGGTTGGGGTTTAGGGTTTGTCATAGTTGTGCAACATTTTGCATTTTTATGGGTACTTAGAACTTGAAATTGTTCATACTCTCCCAACCATGGACCAGCACCAGGATTTGGGCTCAGGGTTTTGAGAGTCTGGGTCTCAGCGGGTGGAACCTCAGCCCTAACCCTAACCCTGAACCCTAACCCTGAGCCCTAAACCCTATAAACACTAAACCCTAACCCTGAAACCTAAACCCAAGGGGCGTCGGGCTCAGAATTCGGGGGGGAGGCCGGGGAGGCCCTGGGCTCTGTCTCCAGAATGTCTCGTTCACGGAGGGTTTCGGGTTCAGGAGTTAGGTTTGAGGCCCTGTAAGCTTTCGCGGTTCGGAGGTTCAGGGTTTATGGGGTTTAGGGCCCTTTAGGGTTTAAGGGGTTCAGAGAGGAAGGTTTGAGGGAATTTCTGTCCTGAGCCCCAGAGAGAAAGTCTAAGCATGAGTATCCCGACCCATAAGCCGACTTCGAGGAGGCAGTGCTGGCTACGAATAACCGCTTGATAGTGATAATAGCTACAGTTACAGTTATACTAATAGTAATGGTAGTAGCTACAATAATACTGGGTGGACCTTTCGAACATTTTTTATTTTATGGGGTCTCTGTGGGTCTCAACAACTCGCCAATAGTTGTATATGTTTGAAAGGGTTTGTGGGTCTCAACTCGCCAATAGTTGTATATGTTTGACAGGGTCTGTGGGTCTCAACTCGCCAATAGTTGTATATGTTTGAAAGGGTCTGTGGGTCTCAACTCGCCAATAGTTGTATATGTTTGAAAGGGTCTGTGGGTCTCAACTCGCCAATAGCTGTCTATGTTCGAGGGATGTCACCAAACGAACTTTCCACAACAAGCTTCAACATATCATTAGACTTCGTTTGGTGGGCAATCCCAGGTCCATGTCATGTGTGTCCTTAGAAGTCGCTTTGGATTTGTTCACAGGTCTTTGGATTTAGGAAGGTTTGTGCTTTTTTTTTCAGAAGGTCTGAACTTACTCGAAGGTCTTTGGATGTGCGGTGTTTGGGATGCAGGGCAAAGGTCTTGGGGTCTTTTTGGTCTTCAGTCTAAGACCCCACAAGACCCATGCCTTGAAGCCTCGCGCCGCGGCTGGCGAAACATGATCAAGGACAGTTGGGGGAGGGATGGGCGGGGGGGTTGGGCACAGGTTTGGGGATTACGGGTTCAAGTGCTTGGGGGTTCAAATGCAGGGTTTTACTTTAGTTTAATCAATCTCAACGTAAACCCTAAACCCTGAGCCTTAAGCCCGAACGCAGGACTGGAACCAATGCCTCAGCGAAAGGCAGCTCGGCGAGGGCCTAAGGTTTTAGGGCTGGGGCTATACGTAACATGTTCATATACATAATTATAATATACATATATATGTATATATGCATATATATATATATGCATATATATATATGCATATATAAAAGTTTATGTGCACATATATGTATATATATATGTATGTGTATATATATATATATGTATAGGGTTGGGGCTTGGGCTTTGTAGGGCTTGGGGATTAAAAGGGTTTATAGGATGTAAGGGTCTCGGGCTTGGGGTTCGTTTGGATCTTCGGCAGGTTTTAAAGGGCTTGAGGTTCAAGGCTTAGGTTGTTAAATCAAGTGTAGGATCTCGGGCTTGGGGCATGTTGGGCTTTATAGTAATAGGGCTTCGTGTTCAGGGCTTGGGTTGTTCATATTGTAGGGTCGCGGGCTTGGCTTGCGGGGTCTGTTGCAATGTTTTGTTAGGTTAAGATTCTTAGCTTGTCTTAGGCTTTATAGGGCTTGGGGTTCAGGGCTTTAGAGGTTGTTTGGAAATGTAGGGTATGGGACTTTAGTAGGCTAAGGGCATGTCTTAGGTTTTTTAGGGTTTGGCGTCCAGTGCTAGGGTTGTTAAAAGGGTGTAGGGTTGGCTTCTGGGCTTGCTTATAGGCCTCCACCCTTACCCTAAGCCCTAATCCCACGCAAACCCCCTGGAGGACTTCGAGGCGCGGGTTTAGTGTTCAGGGTATATGGGTCTGTGCAAGACCCCGGGTTTTTGGTCTGTGCAAGACCACCCCCGGGGTCGCTCGGTCCGCGCACGACCGAGCGACCCCAGCCCTGTAACTAGTCTAGGTCTAGGCTGCCTTGCTGCCCCTGCCCCTGCTGCTGCCCCTGCTGCTGCCCCTGCTTTGCCTGCTCCTATCCCTTTGCCCTGCCCCTACTTAAACCCTAACCCTGAACCCTAAACCCTAACCTTAATAAATAATAAACCCTAAACCCTACCTGTGCGTGCCTGCCTGCTGCCTCTCCCCTCTTCCCTCTAGGTCTAAGGATTAAGTGACTAGGTCTAGGTTAGTGGCCGTGTTTAGGACGCAGCTCAAGGACTTGTTGTTGTGTTAGGTCTAGGTCTGCGAGGAGGTCTCCCACTAGGCACAAGGCAGGGTCAGTAGGTACAAGGCAGGGTTGACTTGAGCTGCGCTAGGTTAGGGTTGTGTCTAGGAGAGGTGAGGTCTGGGCAAGACCCACCGACCAATTTTGGGTCTGCGCAAGACCCGCTATTACATTAACCTATTGATTATTGTCTACATGTCTAGTCAGACTATTGACTATTGTCTACATGTCTTTTTTGTTGTAGATCGTCTGTCTGGTCATGTTGCATGTTACTAGGTCTCTTAGGTTGCATTGTCTTTGCATTATGTGTTGTGCAAGAATGCCGTATGTAGGTGACATGAGTTCTTGTTGGTCCATGTCACCATGTCTTGTGTGTTTGTGATTATTGTTACTGTTGTGGTGTGATATTATTAGGTCTTTATGTCTTTGTCTTGTCTTGTGTGGACTCGTGATCCCGGTATGTCTCCCAGTGTAAACCATGCTACTCGTATTATTATGCACACATCATGAGCTATGTACGAGTGTACATAAATACTGTACGGCATGATGGCATACGGGTCTTTACCATATTACTTAACTTATGTCACATGAAAAGTATCGCTTTAGGATGTGGTAGTGTATCAAGAGGTCTTGTTAAAGATCGTTTGTGTTGTATTTTTATGCGATAGTTTATTACTACATTGTAAGAGTCCATACCGTAATACTGTTAATATTAGACTAGTTACTACACAGCATGCACAGCTGTTAAACACAACCATGCTATTCTTTACTGTATGTTGCATGCATCTTAGCACTCCATTCTCCACTACAAGCCCTACTAACCTGTACGGTCTTACTTTAGCGACATGTTCTTCTTCGACTTGCCTACTATAATATAATTTAATACTATCAGTATATTCATTCCTCGTATTATAGCCAAAACGAGACATTATGTTGCTCCGTATGGCAAGACATGTTCTATGTTCTACTACTGACTATTTTTTGCGAGTATGGTATATCATACGACACGTTTGTGTAGTCAGTACCATGTCTTACTTGACTATGGTCTATCAATTATTGAAACTGACTATGGTAGTTAGTCTTAGGGTAGTCTTAATTGGCTCAAGTGTTTTGCGTCATTGTGTTTATTGCGCTAACGATATGGAGGTCTGTTGTCTACCATGTTATAGACAATAGTAAAGTCTAAAATAATGTCGGCCCCGTTCGCTGAGGCGGCAGGCCTCATGGGCTGCTCCGTGTTGGTCTGGAGGCTCTTTATTGTAGTGATAGGATTCCGAAGCCAGTTCGCAGCATGATGGCAGGACTTTGGACATCATCGACGGTCTGGGGCGGTCTCAAGGCCGTTTCCTGCTGAGGGTTTTGTGCTCTCTTCTTCTACAATTAAATCTGGGCTGCGGCAGGTCTGATGTCGAATTGGGCATGGAGTGATGGTGAAAGAGCTGAGGGAATACTCATGATGAGGGACGTCAAGCGGCCCACGCCAGAGGCTGCTTGCTCGCAGTGAGAATGTCAGCAATGTCTAATGTTCTGTCGAGTGTTCCATGCCCCATGCTGACCAGCCCAGGTCTGCGAGTCACGATGTTTCAACGGCGAGAAGCGCTTATGTGAGGTCTCGGGCGACTCGGCCGGACAGCTTCTTGCAGTCTTGTGTTCCTTTAAAGTGAACTGTCTTTCCGATCTCAGGGGACACGCTCATCGTCCTGCACGACCACGGGTCCCAGAGCAAGAGTCACCACGACGAGGACTGAGGACTCTGAATTTTTACTTGCTTCTAGTCTTGACTTCTGCTTGCCAGGTCTAGATTGATTTGGACGTCTCTTTTGGACGAGGACTGACTCACCTGCTGCAGCCTTGGTGCTGGACTCTGTTCGTTTGCCAGGTCTGGATTTGGCGGTGTCTCCGTCACGACGAGGACCGAGAATCCTGAGGTTTTTGCTCCAAGCTTCGACTTGATCTGTCTGGCCAGGTCCAGATTAAGTTGGACGACTTCTCGGGCCGAGGACTAATTCACCCGAGCTTTTGGCTAGCTGTCCTTGATCTCTTCTTGCAGGTCTTGGCTGTTGTCTCGGTCCCAGACATCCGCGAGGAGCCCGAATCCCAGTTGTAGTTTGCCGTGTCCTTTTTCGCACTTTGGCCTTGGCATGGGCACTTGGAGCAAGTGGTTGGATCGATTGCCGCAGCATCATCAGGACTGAGTCTTAGCATTGCCTTTTCGACACGAGGCTCAGGCTTTAGGACTTTAGGACTTCACGGCAGGGTCAAAACCATGTCGTGTCACATCGCCTTTGGGATTCCTGTCTGCTCGGGGTCACATCCATAGACCGGTCCTCATCGTCTTCGCCATGTCTCGCATCAACATGGTGCCACCGCCGCCTCCACCCTCGGACGATGTCTTGTTCCGGCCGCGCGAGACTTGGACTTCCAAGAGGTCTGGTCAGGTCCAGCCAGAGATCTGGGAGGACGCCACCAAGTGCGCGGCTTGACTGCAGCGGTGTAATACCCTCGCACCAACCCTAATTTATATTAAATAATCACCTCCTGT